GTGTACCCTGGGCACCGGACGAGGCTAGTTTTAGAAGTACTCTCACTCCCATTTTAGGGAGGATCATCACGAAGGTACCTAATGCAAACTCTTGAGAACTTGGAGGCAGTTACGCTTCCAGGCCAGGCAAGGCCAGGCTGCAGGAAGGCATCTCTGTCTGAGAGCAGTGGGTGTCCAACCTGAGTGAGCATCAGAAGCCCCTGGAGGGCTTGTCAAAGCCAGGTTGCTGGGACCATCCCCAAGCATTGCATTCAACAGGCCTGGGAGAGGGGGCTGGCGGGACTGCTAGCCCCCTCTCCTGGGGCCCAACCCCTCTTTGGGATCTGTTTCCTTAGAGGACACTGGGCTGTACATGACCGCCGCTCACCTGTTCTCGAAGCTCACTGGGCTCTCAAGTTTTCACGTTTGGGTTTGGGGCATATGAGCCGAATTCTGGCCTCTGCTGTGTTGGGTTTGGGTCCCGTCTGGCTTGCCTAGTTTCTGCCTGGGAACAAATGTTCCTCACCTTAGCACTACTTAAAGAGCTTGAAGCATTCCACCCCTACTTTTTAAAAGTTTATTTCTTGAGAGAGAAAAGCACTCCCCAAAGCGTCTTCACTTGGAGATCCTCAGCCTGCCCAGACCACAGGCACGTGCACCTCCGGCACCCCAGTGTGCACAGAACGTCCCTCCCACGTGGGCCCAGCAGCACGGAGCGTCGCGTCAGTGCTGCACCGAGGCGGGCCCTCCTCCTGTGTTTAAAGGGTTTTAAACATCTGTCCTCTGCACCCCTCGGGACAGAAGGGCACAATGTGTTTGCCACCAAGCACCTGGGGAGGGGAGGTGTGGAGACCGACAGGAGTCTCTGGCTTTGGCTTCCCCAAGTGTTGGTGAGGCGGGCTGCTCGGTGTCCCCTGGTGGTCTCATGCCACATCACGCTCCTGGGGCTGCCGGCGTTTCCCCCCGGTTTCATGTGCCTAGCTTTACTGAGCTCTCTGCCAAGCCTTTTGGCTTCATGTATGGCCACGTCTCTGGTGAGGAAGCAGCACAGAGGCCAGAGGCCAGAGAGCACTGGGCTCCGGAGCTGCTCTTGGAGGTACATTCGGTGGTGGCCTTTCTCCGGTCACCTCCTCCAGGTGCTGTTAGCGGTCAGGCATGCGATGAGGCAGAGGGCCTGCAGCTGTCCACGCCCTCACAGCCTTTAGCTCCTGGTGAAGCTGAGGGGCAGGGAGGCGGGTGACCGAGCCACGTAGGAAACTAGGGATTCCCAACAACACAGAGTGTGGGTGTGGTGAGGACTGCCAGCCTATCTGGGCTCTTTAAATGTGTGGTTGCTGTCATGGCAGACCTCAGCCTAGGGGTGCCTGCAGAGGACCCGTGCACCTTTTTCGTTTGCTTTTTTTTTTCTTTTCCAATTTACTCTAGGGTGCATGTGCTTGCCAGAGACAGAGAGGAGAAAGAGAGAGAGAAAGCACCCCCCAGAGGGGATGGCCACACCAAAATCCCTTCTCCATTTTCCTCTCGGGATTTCGGGCACACACATATACATGCCCAACATGTTTGTCAATCTGCCGGGTCCAGGATTTGAACTGCGCTGTCGGCCACGTGGGATCCAGCTGCCTTAAGCCCCCCATCGCCTACTGGTTTTCTGATCCATCATTTCCAAACCATTTCAGTTGAAGGTCCACTCACTGCAGTTCTTTTGCTTTCGAGCGGGGGAAGTGAGTTTCCAGACTCGGAGTGGTGCGCGAGCGTGCACAGTCGGCTCGCGGCTCACTGACTCTCCGGTCCTTCTCTACAGAGTTTCAAGTATCCAGCAGCAGCTGGCCCACCGGGATAACGAGTCCTGGCCGGGCATGGCCGAGGACGACCGGGA